AGGGCATCTGCAACCCGTGCTTGCCGTAAAAGGTGACTATACTTGACTAAATGTCGTAAGAGGCGACTGACGGGACCAGTCGTTCAGGCTCGCTGACTTGGTTGATGCATGTCATCTATCCCAATTGAGTGGATCGATTCTCATGATATCAATCACTGGGTTGTCTGGTCCAGACTCGATTATTTACAGAGCGCCGTCATACAGCTGGAATATTGCTAGGTGCGTCGTGAAACAAGAAACCAAACCAAATTATTTGATCTGTAAATGAGAACATTCCTGTCTCTCGGTTAACCCTTTCGTCCGCTTTATTAAATTTTCTTTCTCACCTCTCTCTACATGCTTTCTGGGGGCACTGGTGGCCCAGTCGTCTAAGGCGCCGCGATTCACTGTGCAGAGTTGCGTCCCTTGGGAACGCCAGAAACCTATGATTGTGGGTTCGCACCATACCCGTGCTCGTGGGTTTCACCGAAGTGGTAAACGTCTGAGACCTGCATCACCTCGGGCTTTCCTCCCACATTAAGCTGACACGCCGCTATATAACTGTAATTGTGTTAAAAGCGGCGTTAAACCCAACTCGCTCACTCTCTCACTCACTACATGCTCTCTATTAGTCATAATTTTCAGGTGAGACACATTCCAATATTTTATTTACTTTTCACACCTGGCTTTGGGAATACAGATACATATATCACAGCCATTTACTAAACTAATTATGTTTTCTAACACAATTAAGAGTCCCAAATCGCAAATATGATCAATTCAGAAAAACACTGTACACGTCAGTGATTAATCCCCATTTTCTTTTGAATATAGTAATCAAAAAGGGCACCAGTTTCAAATAGAAGATTGCTACATTGAGCATGATGAGTGCCTCTCTCGATGTGACAAAACACGGAGAAAATATACATGTAATCAGGGCACACTGTTACGTTACAGCCATGACACCACATAAGCATGTCCTTTCCTCTCAGGATGAACTCGTTGCAAGAAAGGAAGCTGCAAATTGAGACGTTGGGGATATACACTATTAAATTATCCATGTACTTTGATGTGAAGCTGTCATCTTTAATTATTTAACGGTCACCCGACTCACCCAGTCGTTTTATAAATCATGTGGTTTTCAAAAATCTTCATTCCAAACACTTTCTCCAGCCATATGTCCATCCTGGATCATCACTTAAGCGATAAAAGCTTGGTACCTCAAAGTAGGTAACCTCGGACAGGTGGCATACACCGAAACGATGATCAAAGTCAAACGACTTACACACAAACTGTTTCATGTCCACGCATCTTCTTTCGCAGACCTTCATATTGGTACCCAAATATGTTTTCCTGTTGTGGCCCGCAATTGATGCGCCCTTCAAGAGATGCATGATTTGACTGTGCTTCAGGCAAACTGAAACAAGAAACACATTGTAAGACATTGTTTTCCCTAGAAACATAACGAACTGATATGCACCGAAGGTGAATTCTATTCAGAAAAAGATGCACCATGTGTTGCGCATGACATTCTTTGAAATAATACACGAGAAATTTGATTAATGAACCAATGTTACCAAGAAACGGAATTTAGTACTTTGAACAATAATTTCCTTGCTACATAAAATATATCACAATCAAACACATCTTCTATTAAGAATTTGTTGTCACACTGGTGGATAACATATTTTAGCGAAAAACACTATTGGAGAAATTCTGCAAATATTTAATTACAGTCACCATGCATTCTATATTTCATTTGATGTGCATTAACCTTTTGAATGAGATAACCCGTGGTAGAGAAACAGCGATCAATTCGCATTTGAAATCTTGCAATTCTAACTTACTTTTCAAATTGTATTAAAATCTTAAATGTTACACGGTCTTAAGTCAATTAAATGCGACCTCTTTTGTGTCGGTATAAAGATCCTTGTTGTAAGTGTTGAAACCCTGAATTAATTCTGTTCCTATGTTTGTTGATAATGACCTGAACAAATACATGCTGCTAAATAACAATAACAGGAGATTTGTACTATTTGGATTGTCCTTTTTCTCCCCTTCTCGATTTCTTTCAACTTGCATGCTAAACTTTTACATTATAATAATTTGCTTTTTACATTGTTCGAGTGGGACTGCAAAGTTGTGATCACTTTGATCAAATTCATTGCAAAAACATATGATAAAACAGAGCAATGAATGAAGTTTTATTTCTCTGCCACAACCAAGCCACCTAATCAGAAAAATGCTCAGAATCAACGACTAAATTCAAGAAAACTTCATATGATAAAGGAGTGAGTGAGTTGGGTTTAACGCCACTTTTAACAGTATTCAAGTTACATCTCGGCGTTTCAGCTTAATAAGGGAAGAAAGCCCGAAGAGGTCTCAGACGTTTATCACTTCGGTGAAACCCACGAGCACGGGTATGGTGCTGACAAACCTAGAAATATAATCAAGGTGAATAGGGATTCGTGCCCAAGGGAAGCAACTCTGCACAGCGAATCGCCGTGTCTAAGACGACTGGGCCATCCCTGCCCCCGACAGGTGAAAGACAAATTTACATCTCGAAATCACGCATGTATCAACCATATACTCAGCAAAGTTATTGTGACACACACGTACATCATTACATAACATGCCACGTGTGTTACAACTTCAACCTGTTATAAAAGTGGTTGAATGTGTAACTGATTAAAATTACCTTTAGTTCTGTTCTGTTGTGTTGATGGCTGAAGACTAGACTTTTTGACATCGCACGAAACTGATGCGTGTTGCAGAAATGTTGTCTTGCAGGATTCCTCACAGAACGTGGAACATATCATCTGCTGGCGTATCGCTGTCAAGTCCAACGCGACAACATCATATTTAGTTGTCTCATAACATTGGATGGGTGGAAGGAACAATGAACTGCCACACTTTACAAGATTAAGGATGATCACCGCCACATACATGACTACAGTGACTGAATGACACACTAAAAGTAAAGATAGTTTGACCACAGATTATGGCAACCACCGTCCTCCGAGGTGATTAATAATTAAGTATGAAAGCCCATGGCTGAATGGATTTAATGTTGCAATCACGAACATTTAGATTAGATTGATGGCTTTACACCGCCATCATCGAAAGCTAATGACAGAGTTTAATAATGTACAATATTGCTACTGAAACGCTGATAAATGCGACTAAAATTCACATCTTAAACACCGCCCGTTACAGGCATTCTGATAATTATATTATACTATGTAGAGTTTAAAAGTTGAGAAATATTGCATTACAAATTATGGCAAATTAATGTCTAATGTTTAATACAGTGTATCTTTCTTCGTTTTTAATTATTTATAATTTCAGCAATAAACGCGAAGTAAATAATACTGAACAGTATTAATGTAAAGGTCACTGCACAAAATATACACGACTATACGATTATAATTCTAGCAAACATTATGATACACTAGAATAATTAATTTACATCAATACCATTACTACTCAGTACTTAACATATATAGAACCCTTAAAACATTATACTAACCTTTAGATTTGTTGTTTAGTCCTAAGTGCTCTGAGTTGCGCTCTGATTGTTGTAAAGTGCGATGGCTGACGTGCAAGTAGCTTTTATTATTTCCAAACAAGCAAATCGACACAAACAAGGGGCAGTGAAAGACAAAGAACCTAAGACAGGCAATGACACAACACAACCTGTCACCCCTTATACCCGTGAGAGAGGTGACAAAGATCTAAACATAACTATAGGCTAACATTTAAAGATGATACTATTAGAGGTAAAACTATAAACAATCACAATTCTCACAACCTGAAATGACAACAACCTATATACATGGAAATTCATATCTGACACACTTCAATGATGAGCTCTTTTACAATTCCATATTTCAATATATGTATTTGATATTCAAAAATAACTCCACAAAAGCTACACAATGGCAACAAAAACTGCACCAGCATCATAGATACCAATAATACATTCTTGAACACGAGATGCATTTAATTACTTTAAAGTTCAATCATGTATCTAAATAGTAAATTGTCAGGTTTAAAAATATACACTTCTGACATTTTTCGTTTTATTTTTCGTTGGGAGAGAGAAGTAGTGACAATAGTGACTGGTATCTGATGTGTGCCAACAGGTGTCGAGTCGCAATCTCAGATTGCACAAATTGCCAAGCTCTTAAGATCACGACGGCGCTACAGACCGTGAAGTAGTTTGTTTCACAGTCCCTGAACCACATTATTTTCTCTTCCGCCCAGCCCTCACTGTAATGCTACATAGCCCCCAATGAATCAAGCCTAGATTTTCAACAGGTTCAGGCTGACATTTCCATCTCACTGGGGCTCCTTTTTGATTTAAGTACAGTTGCTCGTTTTTATCAAAATAATATATTTACTAGACTAAGCTTTAGTCTAACCATGAAGTACAACTATCTAAAATATCCCATGCAAGTCTATATTAATTCAGACAGACTCTCCATGTTCCTTTCGATATATATCAAAACACAATTAAGTGTTTATACATTCAGATTGTTTATGTTAATCTAGCGGCTTGCTAAACATATCAGTTTCTACGTCTTCTCGGAAGTGTTTTTTCTGCACTGGTGAATGGGTTACATGCGCATGTCAAGCCTACAATATCCTTTTACACAAAACAACGTGTATACGTTTGGCTCTTTTTCTACGGGAGATTATGGGTTATAGACCAGTGGTTACCTCACACCAGCAAGCCACATCCAAATTAAAGTCAGGATTTCATGGTCTGCCTTGCATGTGTGAAACAAATATCACAATATGGCTGGATATTGCTAAACGTGGTGTGTAAATTTCATGTTAATGTCAACACTGATGCAGTGAACGCACCACAGACATGATGCTAGACTAACATCTAATCTCTGAAATAAACATATTTTACAGAAAACACAATCTACATGCACATAATGTCGACTATGAGATAAAACATGTACAGTGCAGATGTTTATGTGAATAGATCATGTGTTTAAACTGCGCAGTAACTATTATCAGATAATACCTAATGTATCTGGAATAAGATTACTGAGGTGAAACAGACGCAAAGGTAGGAGGGTTTACTTCCAAAGGAATCATAGGTTGCAAATATAATATTAAAATACCAAGCATTTGTTTTAAAAAACAAGAATGTAAGTGGGAAGTTAAAAGAAAGGCTCGGTTACTGACGTCGTTAAGTGAACAGTCAATCTAATTAACATTTTGCCAGTTTTTACACCTCCACAACTCTTCTGTTTCAGGGAGATGCATTTAGTGTTGGTACTTCTTGCGCTCCTGTCCCCATCATGTTCAGCGCGATATCAGTGAGTAACAGCTTTCAACTAGAACAACAGTGAATCGAGCTTAAATCATAACTCTACCCGAACTATGGAAAATACTCGATTCTGCTTGGTCAATCAGAGGTTATAAATCACAATAACAATGGATTTGGCGGCCTCATTACATGGAAGCTAATATTCATAGGAAAATTCTTCTTTCATAACCGTTGTCGGTACGCATCTTAAAATAATGTTGCATGTGTGTACAGTTGAAGGTGACAAAATGCTGAATTACGGTTCCTACATTATTCATGCGTGACAATATATTTAGGAAAGAAAACACGATCTAAATCGACCGAGAGCATGTATATTTAGTTTAAGGCACAACTGGGAGCTTGAAGGAATATGACCTTCTCTGTATCCAACTAAGACGGCTTATGTTGTATGTCACGCGGTTCTAAAGTTGGCGCGTTCCGTTCCAAATTCAATGATTCTTATTTACAACTACCATAGCTCTACTGTAAAACCTGGTATGTTTATCTCCTAAGTATCAGAAAGACACGAGGTTGTCGTCCCACGTGTATTTATCCTGAGATTAGTCTCATCCTTCTTGAGTAGATGGTTGGACAGTAACCAGATATATGCTTATATATATATATAACCCATACTTACGATTTATCTCTAATCTTACATGGCAATGCAATTCATCATTCATGCCTGTTGACTTTTGTACAGATTTTGATGTATTATGATAGATCACGTACAGATTTAAAGATAGTTAATACCTATTAGTTTCAGACAGAATTCGTTCTTAGCATTGTGTAGCAGAGATCCAGGGTTTGTTGATTTGTTGTTTAACGTCACAGCTATATGACGGCGGTCTGTAAATAATCGAGTATGGACCAGACAATCCAGTGATTGATATCACGAGCACTGATCCACGTAATTGGAATACGATGACATGCATCAGCCAAGTCAGCGAGCCTGACCACCTGATCCCGTTCGGCGCCTCATACGATAAGCATAGTCGCTTTTTACGACAAGCATGGATTTCCTGAAGACCTATTAGAGAGAGATTCACGGTAGATTTGAGGCTCCCAGATAACCTATAGCAGTGTGAATAGCAGGCCAGTTAGGAGATAAACCTAATTGTTTTGAATTTTGATGTAATCCCGCTGTAGATAAGATACGTCTTATATTATTTTGAAGTTTTTCGAAAACAAAATAGTCCCAGAAAAAAATATGTATATAAATATAAATGACGACAGTCTTTAAATAATCGAGTATCATGAGTATCTATCTACGAATATGGCATACGATGACAATCTAATCAGACCCGTTAGTGTGGGTTGCTGACGACCAATTCTAACCCGGATCTTCACAGGGATCGCTATATTCCTGTGTAATGAAAACTTGTATTTACCGCAAGCTATCGACTCGTTATTGTCACTTCCTAGTGCGTACAAAGACCCCTTGAATATATACACTGTACATGTATATAATGACAATGCCAGAGTCTCAGTTATCTGCCGAATTCGATTCAATTGGGCGTATAAGGCGAAATGGTGATGAAAAATATATACAATTATTCAATATGGCCGACCACATAATGAATTTGTCCCAACCTTATGACAGTTGCTACGACAGCACAAGACTCGCTCATCGCTCCCCCGAATAACTGGGAACATTACTTTACATGTAACATTAACAGTGATTCTTGATAGAATATATATTAATTTGCAGCAACCATTTTGATTTCTTTGTTATGAAATTTCACTTAGCTTTGAGTTGAACCACCAAAAGGTTTCCTGACTGTAAGCAACGTCATATAACTTTCTATAAATGGTGAAATATGTGGACCTAGTGTTCAGACCTTATATATATGTATAGGTTTGAACTCGTTGTGTATGTTAAAGTATTATTCTTAATCATTACACAGAAACGTGATCCTTCTCGTTCCCAAATACATTGAGCCAGGGACGAACTTCTGTGTTGAAATCCACAGCAAAGACAATCCATGGACAATTCCTTTAGTTGGACAAATTAAAACGTCAACAGGGGCACTTGTTTCATCAAAAGAAATTGACGTTTATCCAGGTAAAAAAGATAGTATAAGGTCTTGTCTAAAAACACCGAGACGACTTTGTGTAGCTCACATCCACATTAAATTAGAAGTCTTCATGTATTTAAAATGTTTACTACCATGTCCCATTCGCACGGTAGAGTCGATAGTCAACTTGTTTAACCTGAAAACAAAATGTTTTTAGCTGCTACAGTTAGTTTAGGTCATTACAAACATTGATTCACACATCTGGTCTTGGTCGAAAAGAATCCAAGAATCGCTGTGCTACTATTTCCAGGTTTGGCAGCACTATCAACCTGCCGCATGTCTGAGATGTTGTGATATAAATGAAATAATATTCAAAGCTGCTTTTAACCAAACTCACTGTCTTAGTCGTAAAACATACATTCATATATATATATATATATAGGTTCGTTTTATTTTAGGAACAGTATCGAAGCTGGTGTTGAAGGTATTGAATATTATTTTCCATCGAAAGAAGATTAAAATGAAAAAGGTGGTGATCTATCCATTTAGGTTTCCATGGCAGATCGCAAAAAATACGAAAGATCCTATTTGAATGTCTTCATGTCCCTGGGGTATTAGTTTAGATTATTGTGTACGTCTGGCATAACTAGCCATCACATCACGGGGAAATACAAAATGAATTGTTAAAAGTTCTTGCATAATACAACGTTTCGTTTTTGTACATGTATTATATCGTACATAGGGCCTTTGACTGTGGGAAGTAACACAATTAACATATCATTTATCACCAATGTATAGTAATTGTATGCTCTCATTTTACCACATGGTAACTTATTTCTTGTGTAACTTCTGCCTTGTATTTAAACATATCTGATAATCCACGTGAGCTTTCGAAAACATCACCAGCGTTATTGGGTTAACAAACTGCAACTCGTAGTTGAATTTTTAAAGATATGATAAATGTAGTGCCCTCAGAGAAATATGTAGGAACACGTTTTAGGTTATCTGTTATTGGTTGAGGCGTTTGAGAGAACAGTCTGATATCATACTGAATTATGCTATTTCATAGGCCAGAAATCCTAAACAGTGTTAACACAGCAAATAGGTTCTACTGACCTATTATTTGGGTTTATATACATGTAGTTGGCACCAAACTGTGTAGTCTGACTTTTTTGTAGTGGGTGTTGAATCAATTTCTTTTCTGAGCCACATGTGTAATATAGCATCTTGCCAAACAGATCCCACCAACCATAACCCAAGATACGATGTACATCTTCAACTGCAAACCTACAACTCAAAGAATCAACATGGAATCTTCAGTTTCAATTCTTGCATACAGGGATGATGGTTATTATTACCTAATACAAACAGATAAATTCATATACAGGGGAGGACAAACAGGTACGTACAAGTAGTGACCCTACATGCAATGATCTTTTGTCGTAATTGATGTGTTCGTGTATTTCGTGTATACTCATAAAGCTAATTCAGACAAACATGTTCATTTATCTATTAACTATAACCCTCAAGGTTGAGATGTTTGGTCACAGTACTTAACGTTGTTCTCTAATCGCCGTAGAACATTAATTTCACATCAACCCGATTTATAGAATACGTTCAATATACAGACTTTTACCAATCTGTTACAGTTCGATTTCGAGTTATAGGATTAAACCAACATCTAATCCCCCACTCTGCACCATTAACAGTTACTGTGAAGGTAATATCAATTATGGATCCGGAAGTTCTGATGTTGGACTATCACCAATTAATCATAGCAGTAAAACAGTATACTTGATCAAAACCTTGGTAAAGCGTATCCAGCGTTTGATGACAACTGACAACAATACTATAAATGTTTTGGAAGAAACATTTCACGGTCTTTATGTTCCGCTTTATGAAATAGTTTCATTATGCAAGTTTCTTTTGCAAAAATCACATGTATCAGACAACGTAGTTTAAGTACAATCATGCAGATTTGATTAACCCAGACATTAACCCAGACATTAACCCATTTCCAGGACTCTAAGGGACAGAAAATTGAACTGTGGAACAATCTGTTGATGACTGACGGGGTACTGAGTCATAGTTTTGATCTTGGAGATGATGTGCCATTTGGAACTTGGTCAATCACTGCAAGCGACGGGGTGAGGTCTCAATATTTTCAATTCATTACACTTCCTATCCAGAGTAAGTGATACGACTTATAATATGTCAACAGTGACTATGATAATTGCCAGGATTTATGTGGTTGAACCTGCATGTTGTGGCAAGGTATTGTTGCAGCAGGTTGGTCTTCAATCAGCCTTTCATTCATTTTTCTTGTCTGTGTTTACAAAAAAAGGAAGCTATTTTGCTAGTCTGTCTCATAGTCCCTGAACCATAATATTTTCCCTTCCGCCCACCCATAATGAAATGCAAAAATCCCTAAATGAAGCAAATCTAGATTTCTCTCCGTTTTGAATCTCCCCATGTCACTCGGGCTCCTTTTCAAGATGTTTGTTTCTATCAAAATTATACTTTTTCAGAGACTTAGTGTTAGCTATTTTGCATGTACGAGCCCTTTATTTCATAATTACAAATGGACTTAATTTAAAGGTAAATTCGACGACGGTAAATCTGAAAATCATGGATTATTGTGAGTATTTGTACCTTTGTTCGGTGTTACACATGCTTTTTACGATTCGGTAACATTACTTATTTGGTTTGGGTATTCATTATGTGTTTATTATGTATTGGCAAAACATTGACACAAAACGTTAACAAAGAACCGTGCTATCATGGATCATGGATGAGAATTTTTATATGAGTATCTTGTGTGGTACATACATGCTTTATCTGGTGAGACATATCTATTTCTGAACATCATCAATGGACATCATGACATGATTCTGTCCATCAAAACATAACAGTTCTCATTACTTTTTAAACTAGAAAACTGTAACAGAAATGAAATACGTAAATTTCACACAAATATTCACCCCAGACATTTCAGAAAAGCTGAACAGCTGCTCGTTGTTCAATGTTGTATAACAACAGGATCATGTTTATTCTCAAGTCTACTATACATTTGTAATAACATGAAAACATTGTTCAGAGGGAAGCGACAAAACCCTTTCCATAATTATAAGAAATCTTTGCTGAACCCTTGACTTGCTTTTGCATGTGCTTATGACGGGTGCCTGCGATAGGTCAGGATACGCTCAGCTTTTCGCGAACACCTAATATCATCACTATATGATAATGATTCATAAACACATGCTGATGATATTGAATTGTTGGAATTGTTCATTCGAGATTATTTCTGAATATGGAAAGGGTTTTGTCGCTTTTTTTTATTAGCATTGTACGGATTTTGTCATTTTTACAGATTTACCAACCTATGAAGTAAAAGTTGAATTTCCACAACAAAACAAATTTGTTGCCTTGACTGATGATTTTGTACATGTGAAAGTAACGGCCAGGTACAGTTCATGTTTAACAATTTATCAAATCTAAGATAAAACACAAACCAGCCTAATATATAGGAACATGCTCTAATCTGAATGCATATACATTTTAGATGTCTAAAACACAACGTACATTGCGTAAGTACTGATCTGTTTTTTGTTAAAGGCAGAGGACCATCCAAAACATGTGTCTCAATGAATTGTCGCCTTTTTCTTTGTACAAACTTGAAGTCCTTTGTTTTGAAATAAAAAGTGATCGAACAAGACATTCGTCTAAACCATTGTAGTATGATGAGCAACGCTGTAAACATCAAACAAATTCATTTCTCGAAATGTCGTTCTTTATATCCTACACTAACTAAAAGTCTGTGATGATATGCATTTGTAATTCCCTGTTTAAGGAACATTTTCAAGTCTTCCAATACGTTATATCGACAACATTCCTGACTGTTCAATTCATCTTCGGAATTTTTCGCAAGGTATTTTTTTGGAAAAGACGTCCAGGGTAACGTCTCGATCATTGGCTCTCTGAAATCATGGGATCAGCCGCAATATTATGGAATCCAGTTTCCTGCCTACTCACCACTACCAAAACAGGTGAATTACTGACCAATTCATACATTTCATACTTTAGTTTTGTCAATCGCGAATAGCATGTTTAATTTGAAACACGGTTCTTTATTCCACGTGAACACATGGTTTATTTTTAACACATTGTAATGACATTTGTAAAGAATTCTGATATAGGTCCAGAAGTAGGTTTTCTCAGATTATCATAAACAAATCAATTTTGTTTCAGATAAAAGGCTCTGCAACGTTTGACATACCAATGTCGGAAATAAGGAAAATGATTGAAGCTCTCAATGCCCCGCTCTCTTCTGATTCCCTCTATGTAGACGCATATGTAGCGGATCAGGGTATCAGCATGAACGGCTCCAAAGCTGTAGTTCTCTACGACAGCCCTATAGAAATAAAAATCACACCAGTGTCAAAGTTTTTCCGAGCAGGGATGCGTTTTGATACACAGGTATATAAACATGGTACAGTATAACATGAAAAAAGTGGAAATATAGGTTTGAAAGGAATAATGTAGTTTTTAGTTCGTTCAAAATGCCTTGTTTGGTAAAATATGGTTCCCGGTGGCTTGGCAAGTCGATAAGACGTCAGTTAGGTCCAAAAAGACCTCGAATCGTGATCGTGTCACTCTTACTTAGCCACAGCCATATCACAAAACTATGCTTGCTATATTTGCTTAAAACAACCAGGCCGGTTACTCTAATCACACGTCTGATAGCAATATGCCATTACAGCATTTGACATTTTACCAGCGCCTTAATTATTTGCTGCCTCTGACTGCCGTGTTTTTTCGGTTGAAGATACTGATACGACAAGTGAATGGAGACCAACTCCCAACTCCCCTGTTAAAAGGAACCCTTACAACTACTATCAACGGACACACCTCCAGCTACACGTTTATTCCAGTACTGCATGGTTTCAATACAGTTAAGATCGTAGTGCCTAGCGATGCTTTGAGTCTGAATGTGAAGGTAAATCATTAGTTTTTTGTCCTATTTGTTGTTTAACGCAACACCCGGCAGTATTCCAGTTATATGACGGTGGCCTGCAATAAATCTTGACAGGATGTACCAGTGAATGAAATAATAAAGTCAAACACAATCTGGGTTCGAAAACACACAATCAACCAAGTCACTACTAAGGTACGCCGGAGGAATCCCCACAGGGAATGAAACATATAATGTAAATCACACAGCTAACGATACAATGTGTTAATGAAAATACAACAAAATGCAGCCATGGTTTAACACAGATTCTTATCAACAGGTCGAATATCAGGGAGTCAGCAAGGATATGGATATCAACTCATTTTCAGGGTCAGAGGGTCACTTCTTGGAACTACTGCCTTCATCACAAGAAGTTAAAGTATAGTAGTTTAATGACATAAAACTGAATATAAGAGCAATTAACCTTATTATGCGCTTCCGTATATGTGGAAGGTTCAGCCCAACGGACAAAATTTTGACCCAAATATGTGGTAACAAAGATCGTATTTGACAACGGACATCGATCTTCTTACTCATGTAAGAAGTCCAAAATTTGAACTTTAAGACAGTTCCCATATAAATGGGACACAAGTTTTGTCAAATGAGATACCTGTATGATTATAACTTCAACCACTTATTAGTTACCCATGCATATATTAAAATGATTCACACGTTTTTGAGTCAACATTTCTTTGTACAGGTAGATGACTGGCTCAATGTTACAATACTTTCAAACCAAGTACTTCCGGATCTGAACTACAGGGTAACGTATCAGTTTTGGAAAAGAATTGTAGTTTCATCCCGGTACTCTTTGTGTAATGAAACATCTTTAGATATTATATTAAGAAATCAAATATATTTATATGAGTACATTATTTGTTGTTACCGCCATCGGTTTTTTTCAATTAGCTACATACATGTATAGTTTCACTCATGTTTAAATCCAATTCATGCTTGAGGACGTTTTTTAATACTGTCATGTGGCGTCCTCATTGTGTCCTTTATAAACTGCCGGGCCAAACAAAAAATACACTTGAAAAATGGATTTGCATATCTGCTCCTTTCTGTGTACGGGGTAGGAGCTTGATATAACCGAACACTTGTCAATGCATTTAAGATACATAAAACTCAACGAACATCAGTGAACCGTCTCACAACTGATAAACTGTTTCGAATAAAAAATAAAAGTAATATCATATTTATGTCGAAGAAATTGCATTGAAAACCTAAGTTTTAACGTATGTATGATAAAGTCACAAGTGTATTTTGTGTATTTGTTATATTTGTTCTTTGGCAGGTTAATATGTCATAAGTTTGGATGTGTTCAGGATAGTATGTCATAAGTGCCAGATGTCTACTGATGGTTGATTTATGCTTGTTTTTAAAGTGCGGGGTTTAATTTATGAATAGTTTTCATAACAGCACTATAATGGCCAGGCAGCAAATGCAGTGTATATATATATATATATATATATATATATATATATATATATATATATATATATATATATATATAAATAAACATCATACTAAATAACAAGATATTTATTATAAATGTCACTTGATCCTTACAGCAGAAAATAGAAAATAGACATGGACAGTTTCCAAAATTCGATTGGATTTAAGACAATCGGAGTTTTGGATGTTGAATCCTCTCTAGAAACATTGGTCAATGAAAGCACGAGTTTAGTCATGTGTTTTCCAGATAGTCGTGCGTCAAGACGTCTTTGACGACGGCGTTATAGCTACCCAGAACAAGTCTTCAGTAACTACGCAGTTCCACATAACGCAAGAAATGTATCCAGATGCGTACATTATTGTGTATTACTTCTTACCAGACGGCGGAGCGGTTGCAGACGAAGTTCGGGTGAACATAGATAGCTCTGACCATAATCGGGTACGCATGTGAATCCTCAAATAACAATATAACCAGCCTTCTCCAGAAACGTCTTTTAGTTTTGCTCATCTGGGCTTATTATAAATCCAAGTGCGACTATGTGCGTTGTCCCTCTTCGTCCCTCAATATTCGTTCTTCTGAGACAACTCGACGAAATTCTGACTAATGAACTTTGTACATTATCTATGGTAAGTTCAAATTATTCTTACCCAGACATTCCATGAGACGTTATATGGGGTTCACGTACGATAAAAGGGTTTAATTGTGATAACGAACGTCTTGAACGTTAAGTACATTCAGGTACGGAGTTTATTCGTATATTGATGTATATTCCACCATGAATTTGGGAAAACGATTCGTCTATCAGAGATTGCAAATTACAATAATCCCCAAACAGCTAGTACGACGGGGGCATCATCACGGTAGATCATTGTCGATAGTGATATGTAGTGTAGTACTACACTTTTCAAAGATTGTTTGATAACAGGCCACACTTTCGAAAACGACTAAGAACAGGGTTGATAGATTTTATACTCAAGAGAGAGAGAGATTAAAATATTAGACTTTTCTATATTGCACTTTATGCATATGTCGGCGTGACTTAATTATAGAGATGTGGGGTTTTAGAACTAAAACTTGCAAGATTCGCGTCCTATCTTTTGTTTGCTTATAAAGTATTTTTGTATTATTATCATTTGAAGCATCAACGAACGCTTTCCTATCTGCGTTAATAACCTATTTATATATCACAATATATAATCTTTGTATATATAAATATGAGAATGTCTATGGAAAAGGTAACAAGGGTGTTACCTGTGACAAGAGATCAAATTCTCCACGGGAAAGTTATGTCCTAATTCAAAGTGTGTTTGCTAGCTTTATGTATAATTTGAAATTATACAAAATATATTACTCGAGTATCACACCAAAGCAAAAGCGCAGGGAGCAACTGTGCTTTGTCGCTATTTTGAGAAAATGTTGAGTAAATGAATAAAGTTATGAATGGTTTATATCTTCACTATGACATTATGTTCTAGGTGCACATCAGTTTCAAACAACCGTATGTTCGTCCCGGCGATAATACCACTCTCAGTGTATCAGGAACTCCGGGATCCACAATCTGCCTCACGGTTGTTGATAAAAGTGTCCTCATATTAGGCAATGAAAATGAAATCACTGAACCCAGGGTAGGTCCATTCAATATGTATATGTATGCAGTTAAATTAAAGCCACATGGATGTAAATGGAAATACCTTGCCATATATGTATAATCTGTATAAGATTCAGAATCGCGAAATTAGACACTTACAATGTGTAAATATCTACTGATTGATATTGATATGTTTCTTAAACCTTCTTTTTAGTATAAACACCTGTTATTGTCAAAAGCCGTTCATGCCGTTGATGAGGATAACAGCGAAGACCTTCTTACGGTGATTATAATACTTTCCCTTTCAAGCCAACAACAATATTGAAATGTGTCTTGATTACTGTATACATCTATTATTTTACTTGTTCAAACCGTTTGATCTATTGGTTGCTTTTGTCCGTTTGATTTGATGTCCAAACGCTACTGTACCACAACAACTGACGTACTCTACTGTGTGTTAACGTATTGTATGATTTCAGAATACTGGAATGTCTGTTTGGACACTCAAAACAGGTAAATATATAGACAAAGTATCACGTAAACATCATTAGGTAAGTGAGTGAGTGAGTTAATATTTAACGTCACATCGGCAATATTGCAGCCATATCGTGACTCATTAGGTAAGAGCTACTTTACATTATGATTTTCGTTTACACAAGTTTCTCCTGTGACACAAACAAGTGGGTTTTTTGTTGTGTTTTTTGTTTTTTTTGTTTTTTTGTTTAACGCTGCACTCGGCAATATTCCAGCTTTATGACGGCGGTCTGTAAAAAATCGAGTCTGAACCTGATAATCCAGTGATTGGCATCATGAGCATTGATCTGCGCAATTATACATGCATCAATCACGTCAGCGAGCCTGACCACCCGATCCCGTTAGTCGCCTCTTATGACAAGCTGATGTAAAATATCAAGCTATGAATACAGAAATAGGATCCAAATCAACTCAAGTCATCTCATCATAAACACAATCAGAAATCCAAACACGATTTCACTGCGGAGATACTTCGACTCACGGCATTTGATGAGCCCAAGCGTAGTGAATTGCATGTGTTATAACTGATAAATGGGGTTCTTTAAACACTCTTCCAACAGGCCAGAAACGAGGTCCATCTATTTATCAAGTTCCGTTTTCGGGACATAACCCATAACCCGAACACTATTTCTTCGTGAACACACAGTGGTATCTTTCTACTTTTTCGGATTTTGATGTAACATTTTGATTAATCATTGGATACCACTGAAAAGTTCCACCTTTCAAAATATTTCATGCTTTTAAAAGAAGAAATGCAAGAAATGGGGGGAGCGCAGTTTCTGACCTTATTGTAAATGCAATATGTCTGACCTTATTATTGTAAATGCAAATATTTCCGTATGTAATAATTGTTAACTATAACTGTTTACATCTGTGACAAGGGGAAAGTAATGTTTATATGTTAAGCAAATGTGTTTCGCGATATTATATATTTTGACCTTTTCTTTACCGCTGCACTTTGCAGTTCTCTCCAAATGCAGTTCCTTGCACTATATCTCCTCAGAAACCACTGGACCAAGAAAGCGAAAACACATTTAAGCCACCTGAATCTGTTTGAAAGGTTCACATTTGATATGGCCGCCACGGCAATCACATTGAAAAAAATCTATTTATGGCAAATACACAGCCATTATATGAAAATGAAAATGGTGTATTTAGTAGTTATGCTCAACAGGTATGCGCATTTTTAAAAATGATATTTTACCTTGATTTGACCTTTGTTCTTTGATCATTTCTCGCATCTGATTTTCTATTTGGCCCGTCACCGTCCCTGTTGAAAAAACTAATTATGACCGTTACTCTACCATTTTTATTTCAAATGAAACAAAATTTCGTAATACTTAGTTTAGTAGTTGGGATCAATATACATGTGAAATTTTATAAATTTGGACCTTGTTTTGACCATGCTCTGAAATGCTCTAAAAAGGCTCTGTATACTTCGACGCTTAGCAATTGAAGGGAACTTCTGAAACTAAAGTATGATTTTGTCTTGACATATTTTGATCAGATCCCTAGATTTTAAGCCTTAGGTTTTAGTCCTCAGTAATTAAGCAGAAACTATCTGAATACCAATGATGATAGCAATTTGTTATAGGTGTCTCGTCTTTGTTGATATTTTAAACAGAAACGAATGGTAAAACATCATCTACAGTTACGGACTTAATCATAGTTCGACTTTCTCAATATGTATGAACAAATATCCCAGTTTAAGTCGTTTTGTAATACTTTGAATGCTGAATGTGATTTATTTTATATAGATATAAACGAATGCTTCATATCACAACCATGTCGGAATGGAGGAACATGCGTGGATGAGATTCCGGGGTTCAAATGTTATTGCCCTCCCCACTATACTGGAAAAGTCTGCGAAATAAACCTTGATATGATTGGTAAGATTTGATAATCAAATTGATAAATGTACTCTCGTGGTAAACATCAGAAGACATCACTTGGGTATTTAACATAATGGATCAAAATAGTTTCTTCTTTATAACAACAATAAACACAAAATACTTGTAAATAGGTAATCAAAATGTCACATCTGCAAGAACTTGAATGACTAACATTACAATATGCATCTGTCCTGTAGCACCACATTCCGCACCTGGTGCTACCGCATATATTCCACGCCCTACTGAAACAGGCATCCCTAAAGCGCATGCAGGGCTGACCAATGTGCAAAAGATAAGGACGCGAGCAAACTTTCCAGAGCTTCCTCTTTGGAAAAGGATCACCATTGGGTAAAACAACACGTAACACACACACTCACTATAACTGGTAAAAGCATCACACATCGACTAGACGCGAAAGAAATACTGATACATGATACAAAAGAAGCAAGTGACCTAATGTCCTGGCCTGTTTGTCTGTCGTCCGTTGTCTGTAAACGTCTTCTCCGAAACCACTGCACCTTTGGAGGTGAAACATGGCATACGTGTTACCACCAATGATCAAACAAAAACGATGTTTTATACAGTTTTCAGTGTGGCTGATAATTCACATCCATTTTTGTTACTTTGACCAACTTTCAATGAGTTGCATATGAAATTTAAGTTTTTAACCACATGGTTCTTGGATGTCATGTATATCTCTTCATAACCCAGAAAATCATATTGGCATATTTACATGTCATGTCAAGTGTCAAGGTCATTGCCTGAAAAAAACACACTGAATGTTGGAACATGTCATCATTAGAGCCAATAAGATGGCTTAGTAATGGCCTCAAGATGTTCAAAGTTCAAAGATCAAATCAACATCAAATAAAAGAAAATAAAAATATATGAGAACACTAAAACTGAAAGAATTAGAATTTCAAGGAAAAGTAGCAAAGAGTGAGAATAAAGAATAAAGGTTTCTTCCATGTTTAATGGGTTGCAATAAAATGGATATGGTCAATAGAACCTTGGGTAATGGCAAAGCTCAGGTTAGTTCGAATAATGATGAAGTGAAAAAGGCTACTTGGAAGGCTGATGCGTTTGTCCCTGAGGTATATAGGCAACACTTTTGGCAGTGAAGGAAAGGGGTTTATTGTCCTTAAGTACAGTTTGCTCGGTGAAACGCGACTGATAGGTGGTGAGGAATTTGATAGGTTGGGGCAGCTGATATTCTTGGAAGATTTCAAGCAGTGTGTGCATTCATAGATTTGTGCCTATTTGGAATTAGTCAGGCCAGATCTGGTGCTTATCATCCCGAGTCACATGATGCATTGGGGAAATTTCATCAGATAGAATCTGCCAAAACTACGAATCAGTACAGTCAACGTTTGATTTGACTCTGAAGCCGTAACGTCTGTAAATTATACCATGAACAGTACTCAACGGATTTGTTTGAATCAGAAATGAACCAAATGTCAAAATATTTGATACTTCAACTTTGTACACTACTATCACACACGGCAAACTTCATTCTTTGATCCGTGGGGCATTTGTCACTAATAGTGGTCACCCATAGATATAGTTACATCCCTATATTCAAAGGCTCAGAAAACATAGTGAAAATGCTGGGCTTTCGCACAGATGCCATCAATGTAAAATTTTGGGATATGATATTCCCCATGGGCACCAATAGTACTCCCCTCTTTGCTGATCTGTATTTCTAGGCATAAGAGAATGAATTTCTGCTCAGATAGGAAAAATCAAAACAAGGCAGTTTGGCCAAGAAGCTGAACTTAGGATTCAGGCATATCGAAGATCTGATATCGTTCAATAACACCTTTCCCTTTTACTGAATTACCCACAGTAGCGAAATGTAGATATAATAGAAATCCAATAACAACGCCTCATATTTCATATTTAGATTTATGGATAAAGATTTTGAGTAAATACTGTCTACTTGACTGAATGACAAGAGGGATGACCTTTTCCTTTATGGCAAGCTCCAGCCTTTGGTGTGTCAACATGTCTACAAATTATGAGGTACATGCTCTTTCTTTGACGATTTCAAAGAGCGACGACGCTTGCTTAAAAGGGATTTAAAACAGGGTTACAACATTCAAGGCCTAAGTAAGTTAGCTTATTAAATGAGTTGTACATGGACCACGTGTCAGTTGTCCCAATAAACAATCCAATTGCTTTAATTCATCTTGATCTACACCCACCCATGCTTTGCAGTCCGACGGGTAAAGCTAACGTCTCTGTGAACCTTGGGGACACTTTGACGACATGGGTGGCTAGTGCCTTTGGATTAAACTTGAAGTATGGACTAAGCATCTCGTCGGAATATGCTGAGGTAAAAAAACACACTATTGATACCCACAAAATAGATGTGAAAATAATTCCATTTCATGAAACGCCTCATTAATGTATGAATTACAAGTGCTGAATAGTCCCGTAGCCCTGTTACGCGTTGTTGTATTGCCCGTTTAACGACATCACACCTGGCATGTAAATACTTAAAGACATTATCACATCCAATATTACCCTCCTTGTATATGGATTTTTCGACACTGATTGTAAGAACATCCATGAAATGTTTTCATTTGTTCTTTTATTCACCGTGTCTCGAGATTTGAGCAATCTTTGAATCCCATTTCTGGTGTCCGCCGTGATATTGCTGGAATATTGCTAAAAGGCGTAAAACCAAACTCACTCACTCAAATCAGGAGAACAAGATTTCCCCTGAAGGCTTTGCGGCTACACACCATACAAACTATTTAATGCTCCTTTTCACCTAACTTGGTATATGACATGTTTATGACGGTTGACCAGCATGGTGGTTGTGTTACTTCTACAGGCATGAAACTTGCTATTTGCATGCATGGTCCACATCAAACGCCAAGCTTAAGATTATTGTGAAAATTAATGTATCACTGTCAGTTATTTAAGTACGAAACTTTGTATTTGGGTGAATATCATGGCTAAGGTCTGAGTCATACGATTTTCGTTGTAGTTGATATTTTCCGGGATCTGTCTTAAGGGATGGACCATTTGATATTCGGATTGGTGGGGGCCTGGGATTTTTTTTTTTTAAGTAGATTGTCCCAGAAAATGCTTGGGTAGAATAGGTCTTCAGCAACCACTGCTTGCCGTAAAAGGCGACTATGCTTGTCGTAATAGGCGACTATGCTTATCGTAATAGGCGACTAATGGGATCGAGTGGTCAAGCTCGCTGACTTGGCTGATGCATGTCATCGATCCCAGTTGCGTGGATCGATGTTCATGATGTCAATCGCTGGATTGCCTGGTCCACGCTCGATTATTTACAGACTGCCGTCACATAGCTGGAATATTGCTGAGTGCGGCGTTAAACAACAAACACAAACTTCAGACTGCCAAGTGCTCATTGCTTTAATTAAAACTATATATGGTTTTGTATCTGTAGCTGAAAGTCTCTTGTCTCTCTACAAAAAAAATCCCCCACCGAATATTTAATGATAAAGAGCCGATAACTGAGTGTTGGTTTCAGTGCGAGCATCCATAATGAGTCATCTATTCCACTGCATATGTTAAGTAGGGAATATTAGAGATATAAGCTATACTGAATGTGAAAGTTATGAACGACGTAAGTTAAAATAGGGTAACTGGGTATTCCTGGTATAGAAACGGATTACGGTTAATAGTATCACATCGTTATCACATCTCTGGGAAAGAAACATGTTGATTTATGTGTCCAGTAACAGAAAGGCGCAATTATCGCACGCCCCACTATTACAACCATCCAAGTATTCTATGAAGTACAAGTAAACTGTAAACTACACGGTTGTTTTTAGGTGCAAACTTTTCTCAGTTTCTTCGTGTTGCTCACTGTTCCGGATCACATCGTGTTTGGGGAAGAGATACTATTACAGCCAAAGGTGTATAACTACATGGGCAGTGATTTTCTTGTAAGTATTGCTAAGTAATATTCAGCTCCATGACCTTTCATGCATACAACACGTGGCTATCATGTCACGCTAAAATGCTGTAAGGTCTGGTAAGAATAGTGATACATGGGACACTTTAAATCGTCTACAAGGTGATATTCTATGTAATTTTAACGAATGGTAGTTGTGACCTACTTATACCGCGTGATAGGAAACACACCAATGGAATATTCAATGCATTAATGTAAGCGATACGTGTTTTGTACGAGATTCAAACAGTTGGCGCATTTGTTTTAACATGCGCAGATACAACAAGGAAGAAGTTTATCTTTCATCGTCCCGGTCACATTCAGCAGCCTTGGCACCATGAAGGTCACTGTAACAGCTATTGGCAATTTCAATGGTGTTTCAGATTCTGTTGAAAAGGAGCTTGTTGTCAAGGTTTGTGCATTTGTAGAACTTACAACGTGCGTCTCAATTGTCTATTTCGTGAAGTATTGGTGTATTGATTAATTTTATACATTACCTTGCAAAACAGGTCAGTACTTAATGTACATGTATGTTTAAGATGTGTAGCGTTAGCAGTATATCAGAAGTTGGTCACTATGGCCAGCACAGCATGCTTGTTAAATACGTTTGTGTGGTCACAAGACCCGTGAAGATCCGGGGTAGAATAGGTCTTAAGCGACCCTTGCTTGCCGTAACAGGCGGCTATGCTTGTCGTAAGAGGCGACTAGCGAGATCGGGTGGTCAGGCTCGCTGATGCATGTCATCGTATCCCAATCACTGGATTGTCTGGTCCAGACACGATTATTTACAGACCGCCGTCATATAGCTGGAATATTGCTGAGTACGGCGTTCATTAAACCAACAAACAAATTTTGGTCACAATGTGTGACTTGGTTCACTATCTGTCAACGTATCGTGAAGGCGTTGAATTCGAATGTTGGTTATAGTATCAACCACAGGTCCAGTGAAGGCACTTTTAACAACCCTCATGATCAGTTGAAATATTTTATAGCTCATGCTCACTCATTGATATCATAAGTGATACGCACCCAGAGTGACGTTTGACTTTTAAACCTTCTGTTTCCTTATATTGCATAGCCCCAGGGTGCCCCACAACACTACAACCTACCAGTTGTCCTAGATCTCAACTCAGCACATTCTGTGGTTGACTCATTGGACATCGCTCTTCCCCCATCAGTTATTCAAGAATCTATCGTCATCAAGGCAAAGCTGTCAGGTACCATACTTTAATGAGCACGTTATTTCAGAGTTTACAAAGTAGAATGTCATATGACGGTGGCCCATACCCGCCACTGGTGAGATCATTTTTCACTGTATGTCTCTATATTTTATCTGGCAGCCGCCAAATAATTTTCTGGCGGCCGTCAGATACTTCCACTGGTGAGATAAAATATAGAGGTATACAATGAAAAATGATCTCACCAGTGGCGGGTATGGGCCACCGTACTATATGAGAATGAATGGTAAACAAATATTGACCGATCAAAATATTTTATGAGATGTTCATAATGTCATATGTATCCTTCACATAACCGTTGTTCACTTAAATAGAATCATGACTCACGAAATCCCATGGGAGACAGGTCACTCGGGTTACTCTGAAGTTATTCACTCCGGAAATCACTTGTAAATAGTTTTATTCAGTTTGCGTGCTTATCTAAGGGAATATTGTCAAGACTGAGTTCGAAAAAAGGTCCCATAAATTATTTGTTTACAGAGTAACGGCTTTTGATCCATGTTATTTTACTTGGTGCAAAAAGTGTCTGCAGAAACTACTGAAGTAAGCTTATCTAAGCGATACTTATCTTTTCCAGAGAAGGAGTCCTTTGTGTGTTTTTATTTCATATTAATCATTTTTGTTCTGATGACATTACGCGGCCCAATTGCCTATCTCTTCTTAACGCTTTATACGGCTATTTAATAGTTTATATTCACTACTACATGAACAAACAAAATTCTAATGTACCCCATGGCGGGGATAGTGATAACGCTGTTTTCTTGTTAGCTAGAGGCATTTAGAGGCTAGGTAGCTAGAGGCATATAACACTGTCTGTTTCAAATCCAATTTTTTCATAGATCCGGAACTGATTTCATTGAACCAAATGAAGCTGTAATGCATTTAGTACTGTGTCTTAACAGTTGTGATCAAAGATGGACATGGATAGTATTTGGTGAGGTGAACTGAACTGAAATTATCTATCCGGGATTAAATATAATCCTTAAATTCTGCTTCCTATGCTGACACCCCTAACGGGGGCACTAAAACGGTTAAACCACCATTTAAAAATAGAGGGCCAAATTTGAATGTATATAGTGCAAAAGGGGCCACGTGTTCGCATAAAGAATAGTTTGAGATAACTAAGCTCGGAATACACTGATTCGACTGTAGTAACCACATGCGTAGACTAACATTTAGTCTCTGAAATCTTATGTTACACAATATCCTTCTTGACTCTAAAAATAAAATAAAAATTCCCTATGCTTCAGAGCTTGAGCTGGCTAGACTTGCCTTTGTATGCATTTCTAGATTATTATTTTTTCATAAAATACATATATTCCACGGTCATGGTGCAGGACTACCACATGCGTACCATATGACAGTGAATGTACATCATACACACAGAAACAGCCTGGTGTGTTTATGTTGTTAAAGTGAGAATATTGTATACTCTCTGTACATTCACACACTGTAGAACCATTTCACCATTTTGACAAGTATGGCTTGAAAACCTGTAAATTACAAAGAGTGAGTGAGTGAGTTGCGTTTAGCGCCGCTTTTAACAGTATTCCAGTTATATCACGGCGTGCTAGCTTAATGTGGGAGGAAAGTCCGAAGTGATGCAGGTCTCAGACGTTTACCACTTCGGTGAAACCCAGGAGCACGGGTAGGGTGCTGACAAACCTAGAAACATAATTAGGGTGAACCGGGATTCGAACCCACAATCATAGATTTCTGGCGTGCTCAATGGACGCAACTCTGCACAGCGAATCGCGGCGCCTTAGACTTACCTTCCAATTAGAAAGATCTTATGATAGCAGGTACATAACATTTCTTTTCATCATTGTTGCAGGCGACATAATGGCACCGAGTATCGACGGGTTGAGTAAACTGTTAACTTTTCCAACCGGATGTGGTGAACAAACGATGATAGGGCTTTCCCCTGATATCTACATATTTAAGTACCTAAACAACACTGGTCAACTGACGTCATCTATTCAGCAGAAACTTTCAAGCTTCATCAAACAGGGTTTGTATAGACATCAAAACATGAAAAAGAGAAATATACATATTCTTTGTGGGATTTTTACTGAATTTCTTCGTTCATTTACGAATCAGTGTTGGCTTAGTAAAGTAGGTTTATATATATAACCATCCTGTAGCCATTCATTATCCGGACAGGTTTACTTATTCAGAACATGATGTTTAAGTAGTACTTTTTTCAGTTTCATAAAGCAAACAAGGTGTGACTATTGTTACTTTCTGTTTTCTTATTTTACATTGCAGGTTATCAACACGAGTTGCTGTATCAGCTGACAGATGGTTCCTTTGCAACTTTTGCAACAAATAGTATAGGGAGCACTTGGTAGGAATGTTATACATCTTCATAAGTTTATGTTGAATGTGAAGCTTAATGCATTAATAAGGTTCTGTTATATCTGATTTTAAACGGTAAATCTAGCAGGACTGTTATACATCTTCATAAGTTTATGTTGAATGTGAAGCTTAATGCATTTATAAGGTTCTGTTATTTCTGATTTCAAACGGTAAATCTAGCTTATTGGACTAAAGGACCGACCATTTGACATTCGGGAAGGAGGGGTGTAGGTGATGGAGCGGTAATTGCACCATGCAACAATGACGTATGTTTGTGGCAGGCACTTTATTTTGTTTTCAAGAGCCTGAAGCATAAATATTTTTTTCAAGAATGTTCAGGCATAATGTTTATTTTCTTAAGAACCAGCCCCGCCTACACCCCACCCACCCACCCCCCACCCCACCCACCATCCCCAACCCTACTCTCCCAATTATATCAAATGGTCGGTCCCTAATAACTAAGTAAGTCATTTTTACAAATATTGTATTATTCCAGGCTAACCGCATTTGTTGTTAAGTCGTTCAGTGAGGCTTCAGATATGGCTTACATAAGTGAAGATGTGATTATCGGAGCAGTCAACTGGTTATTAGTACAACAAACTTCTGATGGATCATTTCCAGAGAAACATGCCCTCTACCATAAGTACATGCAGGTAGGTTCCTTCTATCAATTTCATAACATGAATTAATTAATAACACTTCCTTTTACATAAGGGAAAACAGTGTATGAATTTATGATGATACAACATTTATTGTATTTCATGTAAGGCAATAGGACAAAATACTGAGATACATTTTCACAGACTTATGCAACTTAAACAATTTCGAAATCTACTACATTGCAACGGATGTTTGGTTGGATTAAAATTTTATGCAGTTGTTTTCTTCCCACGATGTTAATGGTGTTTGCTTTGCTCGTAACTGTCTACCAGGGAGGGGTCAAATCGGCAGTGGCCCTTGCTGCCTACGTGTCCATAGCTTTGGGATCCGTCAAGAATCTGGAACATGTATGTTCATATTTATTACAACACAACTTAATTAACGTTTTGTTTGAAATGATTTCATAGTTAGCTGATAATGAACTTTTACATTTCTGCGAAAGTGCAACATGACGTGTAACGCTTCTTTAAGGCGAATTTATCCTCTATACTGGAATTTATATTTGTCCGAATAAAGATACTTACAGCGTTAAATGTTAATTAATTCAACTTAATGCTATTTAAGAAAACGTCACGTTCGATCAGTGATGCCCAAAGAGAGGTTCTTCACTACCTGTCAGGTCAGCTTAACTCTCTTGATGAGAACCACGCCCATGCTTTGGCAATATCAGCATATGCTCTCACCCTTGCTCACAGCTCACTGGGAGATGTCGCTATGAACAAACTACAAGCTATTTCCCATTCAGAAGGTAATTACTCTTCTAAACTTAAGTACATGCTAACAGTCACCGTGATATCTATAACCGGTATCATGCATTTAATTTGCTTGTGTCATCAGTTGCAGTTATCGTTTGTCATTATTTTCTTCTGAGACATGCGAATAAACGGTAGCCCTTACAATGTATAAACACGTTATTTCAGGAGATGTCAAGTTTTGGACGGCAACCAAAACGACCAGTTTCCCGAAACGTCAACCCTGGAGTAGAGAAAAGCGGTTCTCCAATCCCATCGATATTGAGACAACAGCTTACGGTCTACTGGCACACGTTGTGCGAGGGGAACTCGGGGAGGGGCTCAAGGTCATGAAATGGATTGTCCATCAGAGGAACCCCAATGGAGGTTTCACGTCAACACAGGTACGTATATCTGGAAAGCTGTATATATTGCAACGGTGTCTGAGTTACAGTTTTACGGTGTTTCCAAGTCTCGTATCTGTCCCTCGTGCTTTCACTGGAACTTTCGGCTGCATTTAGCACCACAAGAAACCAATGAGTATTTGCAGTGCGACTATAGTTGGAGCTGTATTGTTTTCATGTTGTGCTCATAGTTTCGAAATAATACCATACAGTCAACGAGATCAGTCCAGATCAACAATGTCATCTTAAGTTATCAAGGTCATATGCGGTGTTCCTCGTGGTTCTCGTGTAAACAAGGCCCTTGGGGCATCTGATTATGCAACAACAGGTGGATTATTGTGTTTATGCCGATGATCCAAAACGTTCGGATGTATTGCTGATGTTAAATTCCGGGTGTCCCAAATTTGTCGAGTTCAGTTTTAAAAAGACCAATGCAATATTGATCGATCCTTTCTCAAGACTGAAAATGCCAAGTTAACCAATACACTGGGCAGTAAAAGTTTCGTTTCTCTTATGTGGCAAAAGATATTGGTGAGTATCTGACTCTAGCATCATCGCATAATCCATGTAGAACATATCACTATCAGTCCCGAAGCATATTATGTCTCAATACTACAGATGCAACTGCCTCACTTGTTAGATAATTCATCCGTGAAGATCCGGGATAGAATTTATCTTCAGCAACCAATGCTTGCCATAAAAGGTGACTGTACTTGTCATAAGAGGCGACAAACGTGATCGATTGGTCAGGAACGCTGATTGGTTGATGCATGTCATCGTATCCCAATTGTGAAGAATGATGCTCATGCTGTCAATCACTGGATTCTCTAATCCAGACTCAATTCTTAACAGACTGTCGTCATTTTACTGGAATATTGTACGACCTTAAACAAGAAGCAAACAAAGACAAATAATAGATAATTCTAACTGTTTCGACCAGACTATTGTCATAATTTGTTGGTTATCTGGCCATCAGCACCAACACCGTAACAGCATTCCCATTTACAATTTCCTTGTCCCCAAAAATTCTTGAAAAAACATAATTATACGAACATCAAATGATCGGCCCCATATTGCACAAGTCCCTTCGTGTGTTATGTGTATAATTCTTATATTCTTATATTCTAGGACACTGTCATAGCGCTAGAAGCTCTCTCTAGCTTCCATACATCACTTCATAAAGCAACACAGCAGTCGACGCCACATGTCACCAGCATAGCGGCTACTGTTACGGCTGGTGGAGTAACTCAACATATCACCATGGACGACACGAACAAAGACGTCCTTCATCAACTGCTGGTAAGTGCTTTCCAAATATCGTAATTTCCGATCATTTGAAAACGAAAACTATCTAATTAATTCATATAAACATAAGTCTATGTTTCCATCATAAACGAAAATTAAGCCCAATTGAAAACTATTGAAGAGACCTGAACAGACATGTATGTGCCTTTTGCGGAATAGAGTTTGACAAATCAATTATTCATTTCATTTATGGGATAACGATGTAAAATATTCATGATAACTTAGTGCACTACGTGTTACTTTATTGCTGACCAATAACTAAAACATCTCTCCTTTCGTATATTGATAGTAATTTAAAGTTTTTTAGGGATATTCAACATAGTCTTTCTACGAAGAATGTCATATGACTCTTGCTCTGAAGTTGTTTGATCAGTGTTATAGCATTCGAGGCCTACGTAAACCTTTCAACAAGGTATATAATAATATAATAAATAAATTCGAACTTTACATCGCACCAGTATCAAACATTTGGTCAATGGCGCGGGTCCTGCCTTGGCCATACCTCTGTCCCCATGGGGTCTTGTACGGGCGGCAGGTCCAGTAGCTTCATGTGATCACGTTCAGTGACGTTACCGCCAGGCAGGTGCCATGTTGTCAGTTCTTAGATGTATGATGCGGCGAGTAGATTGAGTGTATTAAACACATAAACAACGTCCTGTACACTATCCTTTGATGCAGTGCCGAAGAATCGTCGAATCCGTCCAATGTTTATGGGATGAAAGTGGGCAGTTCTACAAATTACGTATGTGTGACCTTCACTTCTCAGGTTCGACTGAAAGATAACACCGTTTTCTGGCTTTACAACTGGAGCTGATTACATTTCGTAGCTTGGTGCAACAGTGACAAAAAATATCACATTTGTTACAAGATTGTCTATTTTGATACCCGCAGAGGAACATTTGAAATGTTGATTAGAGACACTAAACCTAACGTAACGAGAACGTAAGGTTGACTGGTTTGAATTTATCTTGCCTCCACAGGACCACATGTAATATACACGAAGGACAACATAATAACAGACGTCAACGTGGAGGAACAAGCAGCTGAAATGAATCTGAATGAATTTAATTTTTTTTCTTTCTTTCATTCAGCTTCCTGGAGACAGTAAGACGGTCAGAGTGAGTGCTACAGGGTCCGGACTAGGCATAGTAGAGGTAAGATAAGATCCGGCCTTAAACATCAATCCTACCCTAAACAGTCATCAATGATCTAACGAATTATGTAGGCAAAAGATGTAAAGTCAATGATAGGATACCTAAATGCTTAGCTTTCAATAAGTTGATGTCGTAATTGATAAAGTGAAAAATAAGATGTGTTTATGACTTGAAGTATTGGATTGGAATATCATTCGCATTACCTTAATGAAGTAATCATTTGCGTAAGTATACGTTACCTGTGAGTTATCTTTCTACGTATGTTAAAGGTGGGGGTGTTCTACAATGTCAATGTGACTACTGATGACGCGGCCTTCGACCTCACAGCTTCCATAACCAAAGAAAGTGTTAATACTATCAATGTGAGGATTTGTACAAGGTTTGTAACAATGTCCTGTGTGTGTGTGTGTGTGTGTGTGTGTGTGTGTGTGTGTGTGTGTGTGTGTGTGTGTGTCCTTGTTTTAGCCCGTTTTGTCGAGGGCCAGGCGGGGTAACAACAAGTACCATTCTTTAACGTCTTTTGGTTTTACGCGGTCGGGGATCGAACTCCGGAGCTTCCGCTCTCCGGGCGGACGCTCTACCATTAGACCCCGGAGGCGGTCCAACAAATAAAGGATCCGCAGTGACATGTACACGTACGGGTTTTTTATATCGTACGACAGCATGCGACGGCAGCATCCGACAGCAGCATCCGACGGCAGCACCGTAAATCACTTACATATTAAGTATTTTGTTTTCATGTTGTTTTCATGGCCAGAACAACAAAAACGTGTTGTCGGTCCTATCAATAAATTGGTGATTACAGGCCTCACCTTGAGTTACTCCCCTTGTTACCTGAGTCTTGAGATACATTCTGTCTTTGCTCTGATTTGAAGATGAATTATTTTTCTCTAGTCCTCAAGGACCTAGGCTAGGTTTGTACATTTTAGTCAATTCAAAGCAGTATTGATTGTAGCACTGTACATCACCTTGTTATGTATTTAACACAAGAACCAAAATAGTCCTTACTATTTAAGTTGTTGTAAGGAGTTTAAATAAAATATTGTCCACACACTTTAAAGCCGATAGATAAATCGGACAAAACTATATCCAAACAAAGTTTCTGTATCCGCCATAATGAAAGTAACACAAATGCCACTCTTGACCTTAATATTCTTATAAAGACCAATGTCATTTTCAAATTGAGTAATTTGTATTTATTTTTTGTTTAATGCCGCACTGAGATATATTCCAGCTATTTGACGGCGGTTTGTAAATAATTGAGTCTGGACAACACAACCCAGTGATTGACATCATGAGCAGCGATCTACGCAATTAGAATTTAATGACATGCATCAAACAAGTCCGCGAGCCTGACCACAGGATCCCGTTAGTCGCCTGTTACGACAAGCATGGGTTGCTGAAGACCTATTCTAACCCGGATCTTTACGGGTTTTGAAAATACAGAAAAGAAGGAGAAAAGAAACTCTCGATTATGATGCCTTTCATGGAACTAAATCATGGTGACAAACAAAATAAGAATGAGAATAGTTCAGTCAGGATTATCGGAGCTACAGTAGAAAACGCCCCATCTTTCACCAATCTTTACCAAACCATTTTCATAGCAGGGCCAAGTCTCAAAGTAATCATAAGCTAGGTTTTGTGATACAGAAAAACACGTTCTTCAAGGAAGCAACCATCTTGTGATTTTGTCCTTTGACCTTCTCATGTCATCTGTTATGAATAGTTATGACAAGTACAAGGTTTTACATATTGCTGCAACAATATGCGGCCAAACTGACAATCAGATTTGGCCCTCTTGAACCATTACCAGGTGTCAGAATTAAGAACATAGGTCATTGTCGTCACAAGTCGTCCCTAGTAGTTGTTCATAAACCTTTTTACATATTTTACTTCTGTTTTATGGTTTGATGGATTCAGCTGACATTGTGTATGCATGTTTGTTACTATAAGGGAGTTCGAGGCAAGGGAGCGATCTTTCATTTAACACAAATATCTTCTCCAAAGCTGAAAAGCCCTGAAAAACCTGTTGGGCGAGGATATCAGATTATTATTCAAGTTTGTTCAAAGCATCTCGATAGGATATCAAAATATGATTTTCAGTGGTCATATTGTAGAATATACAAAACGCTTGAGGCACTCGTGATAAACGTTGTCTCCACTGAAACCACTGGACAAATGAAGCTGAAACTTCAGCTGTATTGCAAAAGCTATTTATGTAGTTTCTCAGTCATTTTGGTTTAAAATGTAATGCAATTTGATACATGTGTAGTTGGTAGTCGGGTTCAACAAACATTATCCGTTGATTTGACCAGATTTGGCCTTTGCACTGATACTGTAAACTGACACTTGTGGCCATTATTAAGCCATTTTATTTCAAAATGTAATGATATATTTGGTATATGTATAGTTAGTAGTTGGGTTCAAGACATGTGCTTTTCGTGATATTTCAAATTTTGACCATGACATTTTGGACCATGTTCTAACATTCTCTAAAATGCATTCGCAAGCACTGTAAACTTCATCTCCTCAGAAACCACTAGACCACTGCATCTGAAAGTTCACATGTATTTACCATTAACGATGACCCGTGAATTTATTCAAGATGTTCGAATCCATTTTTCAATATTGCACCAGCCACATTGAAGAAGCTATTTATAGACATTACTCAGTCATTTGTTTTCACAATGTAATACAATGTGATAAATGTGAAGATAGTAGTAGGACCCGACATATATGTACCGTTATTGGAGATATTCTAAATTTCGATCTTGATTTGACCATTGCACTTTAACTGTACATAAAGCTGAAACTGTCACCATGGTAGGTTCATTAAAACAATTTTTAGACACTACTAAGTTATTAAATCTCAAAATGCACCTTCTCCTCTGAAATAGCTGAGGAAACTGTATACTTCTTATTACGATGACATCATATGTTGTTCAAACCATCGGGAAGTTAGTGTTTTGTTTTGTTTGAAATAGTAGACAATTTGTATTGCATTGGAAGTGATATTCTCCTAAGAAAGTATACAAGGCTCAGAATTGAAAGGTTGTGTGAAATATATGTATCTTGTATGTGCATTGCAACAATGTTATTCAATAGTACATTCAATCTTGCAGATTTAGAAATAGTGTAGACATTTAGGTACTTGTTACATATTTGTTAACACGTTTATCCTCAGTATTTATTCAGAAAATGTTTGAAGAAGAATTAAGTGGTTATCTTTGGTGACATTTAAAACTGTTGACTACATATCCAGGTTAGCTTTTAGATTTTAGAAACCTTGCAAGAAGCCCTTCAACACACGCACATGTCTTCTCCATCGCATGTCATACATAAGGAAAGTTGACCTCGTTTATAGATCAGAGTCACTTTTTAAACAAAGGAAGACGAAACACAGCAATAATCTTATACGCATTGTCCAGATGGCTGTTGTCTGGATCAAGCGGCATGGCGGTGATACAAGCAGGCATTCCCACAGGATTTCAGCCTGATCTCCAGACGATCACCAGCTTACCTAGCCTTAAACGAAAGGAATACAACAATGGCAACGTTGATCTTTACTTTGAAGAGGTAATCAGCTAGGGATTAAGGTGTTATGTAGCTCATATCTATGTGTTAGTATGTTAAGCGTTCAGCCAATAATATTGTAACTGGCAGATGTACGCATGTCCCATCAGTCAAGCATGCAGCTCGGTTCCATTAATAACCTTGAGATAGTCGCGTATCGCGAGGTTACTGTGTAGTGACGTAGTTTAAAGTTGATGTGTTACCAACATTCACGTTAGTAATAAGCAGCAACTGATCTTCTGTAAAAACGGAATCATTTGTTTTTGTTTGATAAAGAACTGCACATCTTGTCTATTTGTCTTCTTGAATGTTTCGTTTTGTCGATTGTGATGTTCTTACTTTCATTTATCCATTGAGGCTGAACTCAATGGGTCACAGAAATTATATGTACAAACCTAGTACAGGGAATTTAGTTTGTTTCAACAGAAGGCAGTGTTCCATCTTGTTGAGATAGTGTTTCTATATTCATTAAGAATTTTTATCCTTACTTATAAATTATTTTTGCAAACGTCTCAGTTAATATCATAAATTGCTTATGAAACTAATACATATTTGTAATCATAAATGTACCACATGTGTCTACAGATCGGGTCAAGTCAAGTATGTGTGGACATGAAGGCAGGTCGGGTCGGAATGACACTCAGAACACAGAAGTCGTTGGTTGTTGTCTTTGACTATTACAATCCAGGTAGCCTAAATTAGACAAATACGTTCCTAACGATTTCAAATTTTCTTTAAACCCCAAACATCATTCTAAATGTTACCTCCCTAGTTTGTTAGCATTAAAAGCATATTTCCCCCACCATAAATCATTTGGATTATAGTTTTATATATATATATTTATGAACTATATATAGGTATCATGTCATGCACTATTATTGCTTTTTTCAGCCAATCAGAAATCTGTTTTCTATGTATCCCCTGAGCTTGAAAATGCCAAACTGTGTGACGTGTGCACAGACTGCGACGGCTGTGGCAATCTGGTTCGTGAATGGACATATTGTAAAAGTTGTAACTGAATATAGAAACTGTTCCGCATATTCATATTTAATATTTTACATGCACATGACCCTGGAGTAAACGATACATAAGCATTGTATCTCATTCAAATCCTAGCATGTGAACACGTTATGAGAATTTATCTCAAACGGTCGAAGACTTATGTAAGATTCTGACCAATGCGTAGATGTTTGAATCAATCTTGAATGTAAACATAAAACATAGCAGTTCATCGTACACACCTTTAACATAATATACATTGAGAAAATAATATATGTAACGGTCAATATCACAAAGAAGATTGTAGCCCATCTGTTTGAAATGAGAAACTTCGCTTATCAATCTGTTTACTAGATACAAGCCTGCCAATTATTTCGTGATAGAAAACTTTCTGTTAATCAAACCCTCTTCATAATTAAGATACGGTATGAAAGTGTTCATGTGACGTAATAATTATTTTCAGACCTCATCGTAGAAATGTTATTTGCAATACATTCCTACTTTCGTTTCGCTAAACGAAATCAGTGATTTTATGATAACATAGTTTTCATACGCTTATAATAAACATGGATGTAAGAGGCGAATACAATTAAAAAATATTTGACATTTGAGATTTCGGATTGATCATTGACCAAATGTTACCTCCATCAACCAAACTATCTTCAGATGTGTGTCATGCTGCATTATATGAATTTAATTAATTTCAGATAATTGGATAACTGCAACGTAAGCCTGGAACAGGACAACCCATCGACATATGACAACATTCTTTGTTTCCTCAGTAAATGTTTATTTTGTTCTTATTTCAATAAACAGGTGCAGCGTTGATAACTTTCTTGTTTTGTCGTAGCCACAATATTGAACTCGTGGATCTAAAGGTGTTCACTTAACAAAATTTCCATCTGGATAAGTGATTTAAATTCTTACATTTCATATAGCACCAACTCTGAAAGGCCCATGGAGACCTTTTAACGATAACCTAGCCTACGCAGTTAGATTTCCACTTCTTTCATAATTACGCTTTTCCATAATCGAGTACACGAAAGTTGTGATTACACGGGTGACTATTTGGAAGTTGCTGTGCATGCAGATGATTTTCTTTTAAATTGTATAATTATTAAAGCCTGTGGAAGCCTCGGTGGCTGAGTGAGTAAGATCGCTGACTTTGTGTGTTGGAGGTTATGTGCCCCACTCTGACAGTGTGGGTTGGAATCCCGGATGGGACTCAACCCAAAAAGAGAATCTGTACTTTACAAGGAGAGTGTTATCCCAAATATAACATTTGTGACATTGTATCATCATTATCAGCCGATGGTATGTGTTGCATAATGTTACTGCATGTGTCAATATTATAAGAGTGTCAGTCGGGGGTCATGTGACCATTTCTGCGATGTGTTTCTTTTTTTAATTATTGTTTGGTTTCTCGCTTATGACCATAATGTCAGTGAAAGAGGTACACGCACCTGCAAATGTAAAAATACAAAAATACTTTCTCTGACATTGCACGTTTGTATATTTATAAAATAATCAAACACAAAAGATGAGGAATCCTGTCAAATGTCATATTTATGTCATCAAGTGAATTTTCATACTATGAACCTTATCTGTTTACATACTTACGGACTTACGTGCACCTGTACTTTTTTCCTCTCATATGTTCAAAATACTGAGATGAACAAACATACAGATGGAATAAGAAGCTCGTAAATACTTTAAGTAATCACTGCCTATGATATTATAAGTTTCTTTATAAATAACATTTATATTCAGCAAGTCAATTTGAATGCTGCATTCATAGTTTATAGTGAAACGCAAATATTTGAATAGGTATGAAAATATAGTGTTTTCTTGCAAGTGTCAGTATTAGGTTGATCGCGTCCATTTTACGAGCTTAGATGATTTTTTGATAGTTCCTTCACCAATCATGGTATGTGGTTCCAATGGTTTTTTCCGAGAAAATCACAATAAACGTGCCACTGTCATAAAGAGATAACATAATCTTTGCTTCATCACCCTCTACCAGTGTTAAATATCGATACCAAGATTAACAACAGCGAGAGCAAACCATCGAAGGTAAGCCAACGGAGGCAAGCCATCGGAGTGAGTGAGTGAGTTTGGTTTTACGCGAATTTAGCAATATTCCAGCAATATCACGGCGGGGGACACCAGAAATGGACTTCACAAATTGTACCCATGTCGGGATTCGAACCCGGGTCTTCGGCGTGACGATCGAACGACTACATCATGAGCACGTGTTTATTAATCACTATCAAATAGTGATGATATCAGGTGTTCGCGAAAAGGTAAGCGTATCCTGCCTCACTGGTGGCACCCATCACAAACACATGCAAAGGCAAGTCAATTGTTCACCGAAAAAGCACGGGAACATATACTCCTCCACCTGTCTACCATAAGTTCTTATTGAAAGCTTTAGGCCTCGAGACCCGTGAATATCCGTTAAAGGCGACTATGCTTGTCGTAAAAGGCGACTAACGGGATCGGGTGCTCAGGCTCGCTAACAGCAAACGAACAATGATTAAAGTATTGCTTTCCGTTCCTGTTCCTCGAGTGTTTCAGCACATACTCAGGATCTCTATCTACTTAAAACAAATCTTTTCCTCTGATTCGACACCTCCCTGCGTCAAAATCTGACGAACACTATATTGAGGTAACATCATTTGAACTTTCCTGTCAACCATTCAGCAGGGAGACTTCTACATTTTCGATACGAGCGAAACATTCGAAACAGCAGATCTGCTTTCTCTATCTCGAAATCGAGGAGATCCTAGTGGAGAATAACGTTTTTAAAAACATCCCTCTGTCTTTTTTTTCTGAGTGCAATGCCATTTTTACCCCAATTGCGTGGATCGATGCTCATGATATTAATCACTGGATTGTCTGGTCCAGATTCGATTATTTACAGACCGCCGTCATACAACTGGAATATTGCTGAGTGCGGCGTTAAACAACAACCAAACAAACGCTTAGTATGGTTTTTCATTTGTTGCTATGAGTTTTACTCTGGTGGACGGATGAAGTGGAGATACTCATTGGTCTTGGCATTGTTCCACGAAATGAGGTCATCTATCTTGTCTTTGATTAAACTCAAGTTACAGATTTAGTTCTATTTGGGCACTTAAATTGCTCCTTATTAGTGAGAATGAGTATGGTACATAGAGTTAGTTGTTTATACGAGGGCTTGTCAAAAGGTTCTAACCCAGCTAACAAAACCAATAATTGTAAAATTGTTTTTAATTTTATTTTGCTACATAATCTCTCTGCTTTTCGATACACTTCTCATATCGATAGTGAAGATTTTCTATTTCCAGTCAGGAAGAAGTTTTGTGAAGCCACCCTGAAAAACCCGAGGCAGCTTTGAGGTCATCGTTGTCGTCATAGTGCTTTCCACAAAGGTGTCTATCAGTTTCGGAAACAGGCGGCGATCACTTGGTGCCAGGTTTGGCGAGTATGGAGGGTTATGAAGCTCTTCGAACCCACATTGTCGCACAATAGCCCTTGCAAATCGAGATATGTGAGAAGAGGCATTGTCATGAAGTAGTAGATCTCCAGCAGTCAGCATTCCTCGCCACTTTTATAGAATCTCTCAGGCAATGAAGTAAATCAGAATAGTAGGCACCGGTAATCGTCTTTTGACTTTCAAAGTAATCAACATGGATCACGCCCTTTGCATCCAAGAATGCAGTGACCACAACTTTCTTCACTGATCTTGAAGACTTAACTTTCTTTGGCGCCGGAATGTCGAATGGTGCCAGTCCATGGTCATTAGTGCCAGTTAGCTCTAATTTTTCTCTGGCAATGACAGGGGCTGCCCAACGTTTAACAGTGAAATAGCTGGGGCACTTATCACAATACACGTGTGACATGCAGTCTTTGCCCGGAACTCGTTCTTTTCCATTTCTGTGTCCATTTGGACCCCGATCACTTTCAACTGACTGTCACTAATATACAAAGGGCTTCAAAAGACTAAATACACTTGCAGTGAACTAATCAAACTATGTACTACATTAACTAGTTCACTTTCTTATGGCCCAGAGTTGAAAGTTAGTTAGGTTTTGAACTTTGGTTTACAAAAATCTCCATTCCACACATTTTCTCAATCCATGTGTCCATCCTGGATCATCACTTAAGCGATCAGAGCTTGGTACCTCAAAGTAGCTAACGTTGGACAGGTAGCATACACCGAAACGATTGCCAAAGTCAAACGACTTACACACAAACTGTTTCATGTCCACGCACCTTCTTCCGCAGACCTTTATACTGATCCCGAAATATGTTTTGGTATTGTGTTTACAAATTGATGTGTCCTTCCAGAGATCAATGATTTGACCGTACTTCATGCAAACTGAAACAAGAAACACATTGTAAGGCAATTGCCTCCTACCTGTATCTTGTCAACCATACTCTGTACATCACTTGCTTGATAACGGTATCAGAACCAACACCGAAACGTCGCTCCTAAATGGAATAAGCATGTTGTTCATCCATAAATCTTATGCTAACTTAGAACACCAACTTCTAAATGACTCTTAAAGAAGTGATTTGACAGTGCTGAAGGCAAACTATAAGAGGGAACACACTGTAAGACAATTGATCTTCTATCCCCTAAAACGGCACGTCAACATAATGAACTGATATACACCGAAGGTGAAATCTATTCAGACAAAGATGCACCACGAAACGGGTTTGAGTACTTTGAACTAAGAACAATACTTCCCTTGTTTCATAAAATATATCACAATCAAACCCCTCTTATATCAAGGATTTGTTCTCACACCAGTGGATAACATATTTTAGAGAAAAAAATATTTGAGAAATTCTGTAAATATTTAATTACAGTTATCATGCATTCTATATCCCATTTGATGTGCATAAACCTTTGGAATACGTTGACCCGTAGAGAAACAGCGATCAATTCGCACTTGGAATCTTGCAATTTCTAACTTACTTTTCATATGGTATTAAAGTCTAAAATATTACACAGTCTAAAGACAATTAAATACGACCTTTTTTGTGTCGGTATAAATAATATGATGCCTAGTTGATAAGTGTCAGTGTTCAAACCCTGATGAAAATTCTGTTCATTTTTCTGTTGAAAATGACCTGAACAGATACATGTAGCTGCTCAAAAACAATAACAGGACATTTATACAATTGGTATGGTCTTTTTCTCCCCTTCTCGATTATTTCAACTAACATGCTAAATTTCTTTAATCATTTGCTTTGTACACTGTTCGAGTGGGACTGCAACGTTGTGATCACTTTGATCATATTCATTGAAAAATACATGATAAAACGAAGCAATGAATGACGTTTTATTCCTCCGTCGGAGCCTCCTAATCAGCAAAAATGCTCGGGAACAACGACAAAATTCAATAAACTTTCTTATGATTCAGGAGAAATATGTTATACATTATCTCTCGGTATACTGACATCTCTTGTGTCGATTAAGTGGTACAAATGAGTTACAATATTATGAGTCTGTTCATAACCTGCTCAATTCGTTTTGTGTTGTTTTCTGAAGCATATTTGTATTTTCTTTTAAGAATTATCTGGGACAAGTTTTTTTTTCATTCTAAAACAGTATCACACCACGCATCCAGAAATCCATAGATGCATAGAGAGATCTAGATATCGGTGTTTGATGTCAAGTGTGTTATAACCTGTTATAAAAGTGGTTGAATGTGTGACTGATTAAACTTACCTTTAGTTCTGTTCTGTTGTGTAAATTGCTGAAGACTAGACTTTTTGTCTTCGCATGAAACTGATGTGTGTTGCATAAGTGTTGGCTTGCAAGATTCCTCACAC